GCAGAGTATGTATAGGCTGTTTAAAATCGGTTAGGTCATGGCTAATTCCCCCACCACAAGACGGCTCTCCCCTCCACTGTTTCTCCATGCAACGCAACGTGCATTGCAAAGGAAAGCACGATCGCCTCGAATGTCAAGATTAATCGAGCCTCGAGCTTACGATAGTTTAATTGATTTTATTTGATCGGTAATCTGTTTCGATATCTCTCGTCCTCCGTGTCGGACGAGTCGCGCGGAAAAATTCAGCGCGCGAACGGGGACGGTAGTTGGCGTTATTAGTCGGGCTTGACCGATCGACGCTCGAGGAATGCCATTTGTCGTGAGACGATGCGTCGAACGTCATAGCTTTGCACCTTTATCGCAATAAATTGCAGCTGGCCCGCGGCCTGCTCGCCCTGGTCAGCCCTTCGTGGAATTTCAGCGGCGTCGTGCAATTTCGTGCACGCGACGGGATCGTTCAGCCTCCCGCGGCCAACCAGCCAGCGCGACAACCCAGAGCCTGGAATGTCATAAGCCGGTGGCCACGGGTATTTTGAGAATTTTGACGAGTCCGCGATCACCCTCTGCTCGCGATATCGGTGCCCTCTCGACGCCGTTCGTGCAACGTCCTTTGGTCTAGTTGGAGCTGCAATATATTTAAAAAAGTATAGCGCCAAGTGTAAGTTTCCTGGGCATTTTGCTCGGTAACCACGCCCATAAATGTCTCAATCGACTAGAAAAGTAAGTTAATACCGATTTGCAAGTTTGCGTCAAACGCGAGAGATTTTTCCTTCTTTTCGTGAAATGAGCGATAAACCGGTAAACGGGCAGAATACACGTTATACGGTGATACCGGCCCCAGAATCGGTAATAAAGCTGCGTTATCGTGCGAAAATCGTTGTCGCTGCGTAAACTAATCTTATCTGAGAGGGTGAAGTTATTAGTAACGTATATCGAACATAATGTAATCTTATCAGATTATCAATATATATATATTGGCTAGAAAATGGAATGAAACGTGACTCAATAACCGCTTTGTTCCGAGTAATTTTGCAGGTGTTTCGCCCGTTCGAGCCACGAACGAACTGCACAACCCTCCGCTTTATTTTCCCCATTTCTCCGCCGGTTAAGCCGCGTCGCGTCGGAACAGGTATCCCCCCCTCTCGAAGTGGGATTCCCTGAAAGTCTTTACTGGGCAATAACGCCTTTCTCGGGCCGGTGGACCTTCGCGAATTTCCACGACGCGATGATCGTTCGCGCAGAAGGAACGAAGAAGCCCATAAGACCCCGAGGAGAAGGAAGTCAAATAAAAGCCCTCGGTCTCAGCTCGGCACTCGACTCGCGAGCACACACTCCGTTACCTAAGCGGTGCGCGCGCGTACACGAAATTCTTACATAATGAGGTGACTCAAATAAGGTCATCGACAGGCTGTGCAACGACGAGGCTGTCGTCGCGCAAACGAATGGTCGCGCGCGAATTTCCCCGTTTTAACCTGTTTCCCTACATCGCCGCTGCGTTCTCTCGCGTTCTTTCCATCTTTTCTTCCTCGTTTCACCCGTGACCCTTTGTCTCCTCGAGAGACGGAGCAGAGAGAGAGAGAGAGAGAGAGAGAGAGAAAGGGCAGAAAGAGCGGGGATCGTTAAGCAGGAAGCACGTGCTCCCGACGATTCGAGTGCGGCGCGCCGTCGTTTCGACGAGCATTATAATATAATAAGAGTCGGATTAGCATTGAATGAAGTGGGTGGCGCGAGAGCGCGGAGCGATAAAGGGAACTAATAAAATGCGGCCTCTTTAAGGCGAGCACGGTGGTCCTTGTTCAACGAAAGCTCTCCTCCCCGGGGGGAGTAAATAAAAAAGAAAAAGGAAAGGAAAAAAAGAAAAAAGAAAAGAAACCCGGCGAGCAGCGCTCGTGTCTCGAATAGAGAGCAATACGCGCACGATCTTTCATCTGGCTCGCGAATCGATCGGACCTCGCTCGCTGCAAGCTCACTGAAAGCTCGCTGTCCCACGGCGGAAGCTCTCTACGGCTTCATCATCGTTTCGTATCGATACTAAACTCCCTCCGACTCTTTCGACCCACCCAGCCCCCGACCGTTAATTAAATTATCGTCCAACAACTGCCGAGGCCCGAACCTCTCCAACTTTAACTTCCAACGGCCTCGTGTCACGTCGCCTCGTTCCCCTCTTTATATTCGGCCAACTTTTCCGCCGGTTGTCTTTTGTCGCTGACCTCCTCCTTCTCCTCCGCCACCACCTTCCCCGGATCGAACTCCGCGAAACGCCGCCGTCCAACTTGGCATTGTGCTGCTCGCCCGCTAAACTTTCGGGGCTACGGCCGCGCGCGCGTTCTAATTGACCGCGTACGTGTGCACGCGCAGCCACGCAGCTTCCGCGAGCGTGTGTTCGCTTCGTAGTAACGCGGCGAAATTTGTTTTACCAACTGTTTCGCGTTCCGCGAAAGTAATGGAAAAGAAAAAAGGATTTAAATTGAAATAGTGTAGATTCGAGTTTCGAGAAACGGTAGATGCGTATCGTGCGATATCGTCATAAGGGGAGCGTTTAACGAATAAAGTACGTACTGCTTTTTCGCGTTTTTTTTCTCTGTGTGTGTGTATGTGTATGTGTGACCGAGGGCGAATCGACGACAGTTCGCACGGCATCGAACGCACGCGCGTGTTCCCTTCAATTTTCGAAAATTGCGGTGAAAATGGCGTACGAACATGCGTGTTAAACTCGCGACTCGCCTTCCTCAACCCCTTTCGCCGTTCTCGCGGGGCGGGGGAGGTGGCGTACATCGTGCAGAACTATCGAACGATGAAAAGAACGAACGACACGGTTTTTGTCCGATCTAAAGTTAATCAAATTGATACGCTTCCGCCGGCTGTTTAACAATTTCTCGACTCGTCACGTACGTTCGAGCTGCCACACACGTCAGTGGCGAGTCGCTTGATCGCGACCGATCCATCGGTATCCGCTCGTGCACGTGTGCTCTCTGATATAATCGGCGGCGACATCGTTTTTTCGCCCAGAGAGAAACGCGGCTGTCGTGACACACGCCGAGCGGCAAACGCCCAGAGATACCGTTCCTATATAATTTTTCCGTTTCTGTATAATTCAAGGGTTTCGATAACGAAATTTTATTTGTCGGCAAGCACGCGAAGCGCGGATAGTCGTGCTGCAGCCCGACTCTTGTCATTTTAAGTAATGCAAGCTGTCTACCACTATTTACATACTTCAAGTTTACCGTCTACTTTAGTTTACAAAATGAAAAATTGCGCGTACTAGCGACGATCAGCATTCTTCTTCAGTAGAGGCCTCTCCTTTTAGAAAGGCACTTGGAGGCCAAGTATCAAGATTGAATGTGCGCCGAGGGTCCTCTCCGGGTCCTAATGCGGTCCGAAAATTCGACTGGCGCATACTTATTGCTACCATAATGCTGGCCGAGCGCTGGCAACAATAGTTTCGAGGCGTCGACGCCGGACCACCCGCGGCTTGCCATTAAAGTCACCTCCGTGGAAAGGGGAGGCATCGAAGGGCCAGCAACAACAGGGGACAAATATGCGTGCCCTTTCGTTCTTCCTTTCCATTCCTCTCCTCTGTCTCTCTTCTGCACACGCTGAAAGGAGGAAGAGCAAAGTAGAGAAAGGAACGGTGGATCACAAAGGTAGCCACGGCCGAGCCTCGACTCGGAAACCGAAACCAGGGGATGAACCCGTGACGAGAATTAAGAGTCCGAGAGTGAGATCGTCGCCGATCTATGTAACGCGAAACTTCCTGGCGCCAAACGCCTCTAAGCCTCCGCTCTAATAATATCCCATTGTGCTACCATTAGCTACCGAACACGCCGCCACCGTTTCTCGTGCTTCTCCGCCCTGTTTTCTCTTTTTTCACTCGTCCTCCGGGTGTCTCATCTTGTCTCTATCGCTCCGAGTGTGTGCAGCATCTTACGTAGCGACAGGATGAGACATCCTTGTCCTTGGACAAGCTAGGTAGTCCGCTGTCTCGTTAAACATAGAGATTTTTGTCCTCTTTGCCCCGTTCCAGTCTCTCTCTCTCTCTCTCTCTTTCTCTCTCTCACTGTCTCTTCTTTTCGCTTTTATCTTTGACCTCGACGAAGCACCAAGTCGAAGGGAAAGTACAAAACCGTCGCAAAACCGTTAACGGCGAGCACAAACTGCCGCTAGTGAACAGTGAGGCATTGAACGTTGCGAACGGTTCCCGTGGGTGTGACTCGATTAGCGGATCGTCAGTCACTCGTCGATGGATTGACCGATAGATGCAACGAAAGCGTGATTGCCGCTTAAGATGATGGATCGATCGATTTTAATTCGGACGAATTGTTTGCATAGATTGCGCGGCGGGTGCGGGCTACTCGATTCGGGGCAGGGGATAATCGGGCTTGGTGACGAAATTAGTCGGAAGGCGCTAGCTAAAAATAACTGTCGCTTTTGTGCATCATTGTTCTCTCGCAGGCGTGCGTGCAGTGCGCGATATCTTGAATTATCGGTGCGTATAAACGATACACACGATTGTTGTTGTGTTCACGTTAGCTCGGCCGCAGAAGGTTGACGCAGATCGCCAAGACGCATTCGTTCTTGGTGACCATCGTCGCTTGTAGTTAATCGATCATCGTTTTAAAACACCGGTGTAGCGCTGTCATATGGTATCTAGTGTGTTTACAATAAAGCTAGTTGTAACATTGCCGTCTTAAGCGTTGTTGCACGGCTGACCTTAATACGCGGGTAGATAAGTTGAAAGATGGATCGCCCCTTCCGTCTGCATTGCAGACGAATAATCACCGATTAATGACGCTTCTGTTGTATTACCGAATTACAAGACGAACAATACTCAGACAGACCGTTTTTCGTCCGTTCTTTTTCCCCATTTGAATTTCCCGACGTGTAACTTGGAGGAAGTTGCGACGTCGAAATGTAACGTGCGGGTTACCGCCGTCGCAGGAGCAGCAGCAGCGATACAGCAGTCCCTATCCAACGTAATTAATTATGCGATTCGATTGCAGGGTAATCCGTACGGACTGAAGGAGGCGACGGGAATGGGGATGACGGCGGATATGGGTACTGCATGGGGCACGGCCGCCCTTCAACCTGCCGCCACTGGTTACTACCCCTACGATCCAACCCTGGCCGCCTACGGGTAAGTTTATCACCAGGTTTCATGGTCTCTCGGCTCCATTAGATTAAACCACCAGCCGCGTTCCACTCTCTCTCTGTCTCTCTCTCTCTCTCTCTCTCTTTCTCTTTCTCTTTCTCGCTCCTTTACGCCGCTCGAGAGTCGCCATTAAAACAAGAGTCACGATCTCTCTTGCCCGTTACACATATAACCGGCAGCAATGGTTATCGTTATCGCGAATGCGTAATACCTTTCCCTCGATATAACCAGAGTGCTATACAATTTTGAGCGGCCCGTTGATATTTATGCAAAACGGGCGATTGCCCTTTGCGCGCCTCGTGTTCGCGTAGTGGAAGCACGTTGCTCGTAGGCAAGGCCGTTCGAATTCAAAGTCTCGAAAGAATCGTCCGGCTCGTTTCGACGGTCGTCCTTTGTATTTCTCGTGCGTGAGCCCCAGAAAGGGAGCCTGGAGAGCCCGACTGTATTTACAAAGCAACGCACGACGAACGAAGGTGGACGACAATTAATCCATAAGAAGGGTGACGAGAGCAAACCGGATGCTCGTTCTTGCCGCCGGTAGATAAGAGTTACGAGGGGAGGGTTGCTGTCGACACGAGGACCCTTGTACTTCATCTTGTGTATGGGAAAGTACGGAATATATCGATGGCGAGAAAGAGGACGATCGCGTGGCCGCTCGCAAACATTGTATCGGAGTAAGTGATTTTCGTCGGTGGCGGCTGCTTCGCCACCGTGTATTTTCAACGGGCGGATTCAGAGGCCCCCCGGCCCACGGGATCCGTATTTTCGTTACGGATCCGTGTTTTGATTAATAATGGCAGCGCCCGACGAAAAAGTGACGGGCGAATTTACGACGGAAATTTATTTCTCTCTCTCTCTCTCTCTCTCTCTCTCTCTCTCTCTCTCTCTCTCTCTTTCTCTCTCTGTCTGTCTATAGTGCGCGCGCACGCTGAACGCGCGCCGCTCTGTATCGCGATACATCGGCGATATATCAAAATCTGTCAGAACGGTAGAACGATTATTTATCGAGGCAGAATTAAAATTATGGTGGAGAAGGTCGCTTTGTTGTTGCCGCGGCGACACCAAAATTCGCCGGTCGGCCGGCGGGCGCGTTCGCTCGGAACACTCGAGAGGTAAAAGATAAAATATGTACGAAAAGGGAAAGGGACGCGATGGATTGTCGTTGGTGGAGCATCGGGGAAGGAAGGAAGGAAGGAAGGAAGGAAGGAAGACAAGATCGCCTTACTTTCCTCGCGAGAGCGTTCTACGCGAAAGAAGGCGAGAGGAGCGCAAGCTGCGCGTCGCCCTGGTAACCTGGTACGTAATAACGCGGTCCGAAGGTGGCGCAAGGGGGCCACTGCTCGGCGCTGGAAACACTCGAGCAGCTTTCGTGGGAACGAGGTGGAAGGTTATTTTCGAAAGCCATGTGTCGCGTGCCGTTGACAAAATGAGACATTGACACGGATTTCGACGCTAGGCGTAATTGGAAACAGTTGGCTCCGCCGACGAGCTCTCGATTCTTTCTCCTGGCTCGTAAATCTTTTCTCCTGTTTTCTTTCTGCTCCTGTGTCTTTCGAAACGACCAACCCCCACCCCGTCGGAGACGCGTTTCTCGTTATGCTTTTCTCGTATTTCGTTTGACCGGGGCGGGTCCCAGGGGGAAATTTCGACGGATAATTAGGAGAGAGAAAAAAAAAGGATTGCTCGTGGCGATAAGAATCGCAAGGTTGAGTTCGATATCGAGCTAGATCTCGATCGAGGGCCGCTTCGAATCGGTCGTTCGAAATTCCTTTGATCTCGCCGAGCGGCGCTCTCTCGTTATCATCGAACGTGGCGTGGTTGGGTCGACTCTCGATTCCTCGGTCTTTGCCTCTCTCTCTCTCTCTCTCTCTCTCTCTCTCTCTCTCTCTCTCTCTCGTTTTGCTCAGGGGATGAGAAGACAGAGATTCGAGAGAAACCGTGCACGGTTACAAAATGGCTGTAGGCAGCCGAGTGGGCGTACGTAATGGAGGCTTCCAGGTTGCCTGTATATATAGTCGCATTGCGAGCGTAGGGAGAGCAGTAGGTCTCTCTTCGTAGGAGAGCGAGTGAGTGAGTTTATTGATTGGCTTCCTCCCGGGGTTGGCTCGCCTGTTCGCCAAGCCTCTCTACTCACTCTGTTCTCTCTTTCGCTCGCGCTCTCTTTCCCTCCCTCCTTCTTGCTCTCCCTCTTTGCCTCCAGTATTTCTCTCTCTCTCTCTCTCTCCCCCATTCTCTCTCGCTATCAAACTCCTCGTTCCTCGGCCTCTGCTCCGTTTCTCCTCTCCCACCTCGTCTTCTTCCACCTCTAACGTGGCGACCTCCTTCCACCCTCGAAAGCGAGCCAGCTCCCACAGGTGCTTTACTTACTTTGCTTAGCAACCCTCGTGTCCATACACAAACACGCCAGGCTCTCTCTCTCTCTTTCGCGCTCTCTCTGCATCGTTCACGCGCGCGTGTACCTTCTCTCTTCGGTTTGCTCGTTCGTTCACGCACCGCATGTCGGAGTTTTGATTCTCTCTCCTATATTCGCCGGCACTCTCTGTCCCTCGTCGCCTCTCCCTCCTCCTCCTCCTCCTTCACCACTGCGCCTGGCTTCTCCTCCTGGAGGATCCTCGGTTCGAACGAGCGCGCGTACACGTCGCCGTTGAACTTGTGTACGTGTGTGCGCGTATGTGTGTGTATGCCCGCTCGCTCCGTACAAAACTCCGAACTGTAGGCATTGTTTATCGTGGAATATCCACCCTCTTCGCTCGGTCGGCGCTCTCCATTCCGCGCTGAGCCTCTATTAATTTACTTGCTTAATAATACGACGGCCCTCTCTCTTTCTCTCTTGTCGTCTGCTCGTCGCGTTCTCCCTCGTCCGCTCTATTTGTCTCTTCCACTGTGTGCCTGTGTCGTGCCATTTCTCCTCTCTTTATTTCTCTCTCTCTCTCTCTCTCTCTCTCTCTCTCTCTTTCTGTCGTCACTTTCGTTCCTTGTCGTCGACGAACCGCTATTGTTTCATCAACGTGGGCGACTGCTCCTATTCCTCTCACAGCGTTTTGGATCGGAGAACCGAGTCCGTTAGGCAGGTTGAGGCGGCTCGATTGAGACGGACGGACGAGAGAGGACGGTTTGATTGCAGGAAACGAGAAATACGTCGTTAGGATCCTTTGGGGATTGTCGCGAGCATCGACGTGCCTTCGCGTCCTCTCTTCCGTGACGCTGAATTCAAAACGTTTCCCCTGCCCGTCTGTTTCCATAATATATCTGTTTAAAGAGCTTCTCGGTCGCTTAACCACCGTTGCTACCTTCAAGCAGTATTCAACAAATATTCCAACTAATCTCAGGAATTTTTTATTCGTGAAAGAAACGTGGGACGAATGTTTCGCCGATAATCTGAAATTATCAAAAATTATCGACTCGCTCGTTAAACGGTGTAATAACACACAACGGTGTAAAAACAACGGCGGGTCGCCAATTATCTAGTTTGTCGCAACGCTTGTTCTCCGCGCACAAATTTCTCACACTTGTTAATCAGCGCGGTTCATTGAATTCAGAACAGAGAGCGTTAATTTCCCGAGACGGTTCTACGAAACGGTGGGTGAGCTAATGGAAACCAGGCGATCGATGTTTTTCTCTCTCGTCGTACGCGTCGGATACGCCTCCTCGATCCACTCGCTCCGACAATTTTCACGAGGACGAGTAAAAGCGGCGCAGATGCTCCGCTACACACGGATCTTCTCCGGAGAATCCCCACTCGCGGAGCGCCATTTTTCACGTAGATCCCGCGACAACCCTCGCCTCCTTCTCCCGGTTTTAACTCTCCCTCGCTCCTTCCTCGCTGTTTCACCGCTGAATAAAAAATCACAGCGAGATCTTTTTCTCTGAAACCGCTTCTCCGGCTCGATCGGTCGACTCTCTTCCTCCCTAGACACGAGTGGAAGCGGAAAGCGCCAGACAATTTTCACTCGTTCACTCGAAATCGGTGAAAGTAGGAGTTAAATCGTTTATCCTCGGTCTTGGCCGGTGGTCGTTGCGAACGCCCGGTGAGTTTCTTGAGTCTTAACTCAATTCTAGCCCGAAGCGGAGATACTGCTTTTTCTCGGATCGTTAGATACAGACGTCTGGAGACGGACGGTCCCCGCGCGAGGAAAAGAAGCTTTCCCCCGCGATTGTACCGCGACCGGTTGCCAGCCACGAGTTTTCTTCGCGTTGGTCGATCGGTACCAACCTACACTGTGCCTTTGCAAGAAAAATTTTTCTATGTGTTGCCAGCTTCGTAATCGGTCGCCGCTAACGCGTAACGATCTCGCTTTACTGACAATCGCGAGTGTGGACTTTTCACCTCGTTTCCATCACTCATTTCGTTGAAATTAACGTTGCCACTTGTGCGTGAATTCTCTGTGCAAATTCGCCTGTTACTTTGTAGCAAGAATATTTGAAAAACATCGCTGTTCTACCAAACGTCTTTTGAACGAAATGATACAGACGGACACCGAGGAAACTTACCTGTTCCACTCGTAGCAATCACTTCCGTTTTTTCACGAGTGAACGTTCACGCCTATTCGAGCGGTGAGTAAGCACACGCCGAAGTGGACGTCGGCGAAATGCCCCAAGTAGCGGCGGACAAGCATTAAACAGCTGTTCACAGGCGAGACTCAGGTTTGAAGTGCGAGTCGTGCGAAAGGAATCAGCGAGGACGCGACTCTCCGGATTAGATAAGAGGTGGCGAAGTTGTCGCGGCGGGGTGCAACAGTGGCAGCTGCACGGAGAGAAAGAGAGGAGAGAGAGGAGAGAGAGAGAGAGAGAGGAGAGAGAGAGAGAGAGAGAAGGGGAGGCGGGTCAGTTGGATGCAGCGCGCTTGGAGCAGACGCGGTAGGTTGCGTGGTGCAAGCACAAGGTAGGTTGGTTCGCTGGCTGGTTGGTTGGTTGGTTGGTAGGTTGGTTGGTAGGTAGGTAGGTAGGAAACGTTTGCACATCCGGGACCGGGCGTAACTATCGGGGCTATATACACGGCTCTATACGAGGCCGGAGGACGTAATTACGCGCGTTCTGCCAATATTGGTTAACCTTTCGAGGTTGACGCCACCATATGCAAAGCCCCTAATGAGTCGCTCGAGTGGCCCCGGTGTCTAGTATTACGCGCTCATCTCTGCCCCCCTTTCGCGTCGTTATTACCTACCGGAGCTATTTTCCACGATATCTTCTCTTTTCCACTATTTCCCACTCTTTAGCCGTCTCCGCTCGTCTCGTCTCGTCTCGTCTCGTCTCGTCTCGCCTCGCCTCGCATCGCATCGCCACGTCGCGTTATATCCGTGTTGCTGCACCCTTCTCTTCTTTCTCTCTCTCTCTCTCTCGCTCTCCTCGTGGCCGCGTGGTTCGCTTTTCTAAATTTGCCTACGTTTTCGTCCTCGCTGCGATAAAACGCGACGAGAATGCGCCACGATCGTCCAATGATGAATATTTGTTTAACCGATTTGGCGGAATTCCACGTATTACGAGAAGAGTGGATGAAATACGTACGGAAACTTGTATAGATTTGCTTCGTGTTTCACCTAGAATTTTAGTCAATTTTTCCTGACACGTTTGTCGTGATAATGTGGCGTACCGAATTATGAACAGAACGTGCCCCGGGACGATCAGAGTGGTATAATCGAGTAGAAAGTGTCTTGAATATGAAAAAAAAAACTGATTCCACCTGCGAAAATAACTAGGGAACAAAATTTGAAAATATTCCACGAAACATGTTCAAAGTTTATTCTCTTGAAAGTGACGCGTTAAACGAACAAATTTTATTCCACATTCTTCACTTGTTCCTCGTCGCCTGTTCAACGCGGAATTAGCCAAATCCAACTACGTTTGACAAATTCTCAAAACTCGACTGTCTCGTAAACGAACAAGCTTCGACGAAAAAATTCCCCCACTACTCGGCACTCGGTTGTACCACCTGTACAATATATCGCAACTTGCGATATCCTCCAACTCGCTTCCATCAGAATTCATTCTGTTTCGCGCGAAGTGTTCCAGCGAAATCTCCTTTCAAGGGATTAATCGCGTAATCGTGGAATCTAAAGTTGTGGAACGCGAAGCAGGGGAGCTGCAAGCTCCGATATCTCGAACTCGATTTCAACCCGATCCCCCCCCCCTCTCAGCTGAAAGATTCAGCAACGACCAAGCAAACGTGGCAAACAGTATTACGCGCAAGGCCGGATGGCTGGATCCTCCGAGCATGCCGATGGAGATGGGGACGCGAGGAGTTGGCCGCGTTGTTGCATCTGCATTGGATCGGGACGATCGCGTCGATACATCCGAGCGATTCTCCGCTGGCACGCAACGCCACACTTAGTATGTAAATCGCCCTCTCCCTCCCCCTGCACACGGCCGGGCGTTCGAATACGTGTGGATAATTGCGCGGCACGGCGCGCGCGCGTGTGGGAGGCAGTCGAAATTGCGCATATCAATGAGGAGGGGGAGGTGGGGGGGGGGCGAAGGGGAGGCTCGAGCGTCGATTAAATCTAGAGGCGGCCGCCGCTGTCAATTTCTAACTTCCAGCCCCGGCTATTCGCGGAACGAGTTGCTACGTTTCCACCAGTGCTCCCGCAACTTTATATGAACTGTTTCGACGCGCCGCTCCCGAGCCGCGGCCAAACAACACCACCCAATCGCCATTTCCTAGGCGATTTTCCCCAAACGTATTGATAGTCGGCGACAGTTTTCGCTGGGAAAGTTTCGGCGTTTCGTCGGCGAGCAACTCTACCTCGACGCTGATTTTCTGACGGATGAAACGGGTCATAGTCCGCTGAAATAGTTTTCCACAGCGTGGTGACGTTGGTTGAAAGTTCGAACAATACTCTCGTACGGTATGAGTTCAAGTGTTCGTTACGACGCTCGTTTCACTCCTGCGTCAAATCGTGTCTTTCGTTTCGCCAACGTGCCTTCAAACCCGTAATGTAAAGAAAAATCCGTGGAAAAGCACCGTTGTTCCTTGAATGATGTTGGTCCGCTTCGTACCTGACTCTACCTTGTTCCAACGTCGACCCTGGCCAGATGCCCAGAAACGCGGCCCATTTTCTTCTCGTCGACTAATCTCGGACAATCTCTCGATCGATCGGACGTTTTCGAACGTCGAGAAGCAAGAAGAAAAGAACACCGCGGTAGTGTCCATCCGATGGTGGAGGTAAAGGTAGAAACAAAAAAAGCGGCCGATTTTATAGACGAGTTGCGAGAGCCACGGCGGCCGCCTTTCCCTTGTCCGAGGGAGTTTAATAGAGGGTGAAACGTCCTCGAACTTGCGAACAGTCCGCTTCTTTCGAATAGCTGTCCTTCTTCGTCCCCATCGACGCAGCTCATCTCAAACGTGGATTGCAGTAACGACTGAGTTCCAAAAGGGGAATTACACGATCCACTCGTTCCTTCGCACGAACCCAATCCGTTGCTTTTTCATTCTCTTTCACGACGACTTCTCTAGAGTTTCCTTGACTCTAACCTCGTGAATTTACTCGCCATCGAAGACGCTCATTTCGCGCTTCCGATTGAAATACCGTTCAAAAATCCTTCAATGCGCCGTAAGTTTGACGCACAGACTTGCAAGAACAACGTCGATACGAATTTCGGTCGACATAACGCGATCAGTGTTTTACGAGGCTGGTGGCGCGGCGAGAGCTCGAGATCGGATCACTTCTAAACTTGTAAGCCTGGACGAAAGATCTCGTCGGGCCATTTGTCAGAGCAGAATCGGTCGAATAGGCGCGCGATCGTAAAACGCGATTCAGTCCCGGGAAACGTCTCCATTCGAATAAACTCTCGCGCTCGCGGTGGAAAAGGAAAGGATCTTTTGACGATCTCGTCTGGCGAGGACGTAAAACACGATGGATTCCTTTTTCCAAAAACACAGTGACGGCTGTAAACCGCACGAAACATCGCCCCGTACCGGCGTTTACTCCTCTCGTTTCCATCGCCGAAACGCCGAATTACGATTCGCGTAAAACGATTGTGATGGATATTCGTACCTCTTCGCTCTTTGAAGATTTTCGTGTGCTTCGAAGTATTCGTTATCTCTTTGTCTTTTAAGGGGCTCTAAATTCAGCTCGTCGATCAAATCGATCAGCTTTACTTTCTTTTCTTTTCTTGCAGTCTCCCGATTTTATCGCTCTTTTATCTTCACAGTGTCAAATTTCGCTTTCGTAGCTTCAAATTATCATTTCAAAAATGTATTAAATAATACCAAATTCAGTAACAAATACAGTACGATGCGATGCAACAACAAGGATACTATTGTTACGAAACGAAAATTCATCCAGCTTGTGCCGATCGACGATACATCAGGAGTCGTGCAAGGGTTTCCATTAATCGTCGGACTATTCACTGTTCTCGCGTGTCCTTGCCGAATCCGATTCTCGTAGCCCATCAAGCTGCGTCACGCTTCGGCTACAATGTCGCTGGTAACCACCGCCTCGAACAGTGGTACCACCACCAACACCACTATCGTGCTCGCCGCCACCCTTCCGCGTCCGATGGATCGTCGATAGGTATTATTTTAGGTAGGCTACAGTATATAATAGTACATACCTATAACAGGCTCGCGTGGAGCTGCCCCCCCCCTCCCCCTCCCCTCCCCCTCAGTGGGGAGGACACGGGGCGAGAGTCAAAGGGAGAAGGAAGAAGAGGAGGTTTAGAGCGAGACGAGCGACCGAGGAAGGGAGAGGGGATCGATCGAATCGCCATTACAGCGAGTGAGTGCCGGGGTTGCTCGATGGAATCACGCCGCCGCTAGGGGTTTATACTCCGTATATATTTGCCGGAGTATCACCCTCGACCCAGTAGGATGTCGCCCCCTATCCCGGAGGGTTCGATGCTCCGGCGCGCAGCCCGCGGCCAGGGGAATGAATCTAGGAAGGCCGCTTCTCTCTCTTCTCTCTCCCTCTCTCTCTCTCTCTCTCTCTCTCTCTCTCTCTCTGTCTCTGTCTCTGTCTCTGTCTCTGTTTCTCTCTGCACCGAGTACGCGCCCGGCACTTTGGTATTGCCAAAATCTACGGGGAATTCGCACCCTCGACAGGATGCCACTTTTCGAGTGGAGTGGCTCGACTCGACAAATGTTGAACAATGGTTACGTTTTTACTATCGTTGCGGAGGACAGACTATTGGTTTTAGGATACGGAACATTGCACGGCGTCTTTGATCGTTCTTGTATTTACGAATCCACGGCAAGCGTTCACTCTGATTCGAAAGTCTGTTGTTCAGAGGGTCAGTTATTATTTGGCTTGTAATGTGGTGCTGCAGTGTATTGTACATATAGCTGAGTTTGACTTTATGGGTATTTCGAAATGAGATTTGATTTTATAGCAGTGGATTGTAGGGCTGATCTTGTTTAATCGCAATGAAATTCGACTAAAATTTCACTTAACGTTTAACGAGACTACTTTACTCGGGAGTAGAGATTCTGTTTCGTTGTTCAGTTGTTGAAAACGTTTGGTAGTCTTCCTCTTTGGATAATTCTTAGGCAATCAAATTTGTCTAGCAACATCAACTTTCAAGGAATGTCTTCGACAATATCGAAAAACAGATACTTTTACATACGCGAGTGCTTGATCTAGTAAACATATTCATCGAAAATGGTTAAAAGAACGAGGAAAAGAAATATGAACTAGACCGTGACTCAACCAGGTCGAGAAATGTTCTGTATTCTTGCGCTAACAGACGCTTTTTTTTTTACACGTGAGAGAGAAGCCCTTATTACGAGGTAAATTACAAAGAAAAGTTAGCCGAGTCTTACGGAGCCTGAAAGTTCGGCGCTTACGTTGCAGCGCTGGCCGTCGATTTACAACGAACGATGCTATCTTTCCAGATATGGCGCCGGATACGACCTGGCGGCGCGGCGGAAGAACGCGACGAGGGAGTCGACGGCAACGTTGAAGGCCTGGCTGAACGAGCACAAGAAGAATCCCTACCCGACCAAGGGCGAGAAGATCATGCTGGCGATCATCACGAAGATGACGCTGACGCAGGTGTCCACCTGGTTCGCGAACGCGCGACGGCGTCTCAAAAAGGAGAACAAAATGACCTGGGAGCCGAAAAACAAGACCGACGACGACGACGACGCGGTTCTCACGGACTCGGAGGACAACAAGGAGAAGGACGATCTCGCGGGTGACAATCAAGGGGACAGAGTCGGCGAAGAGGCGAGGAGAGGCCTCGAAGAAAACGGTGAGCGACTTTTCTGTTTTTTTTTTTTTTTCGTTTTCCTTTTTCTTTTTTGTCGTGGCCGTTATTAGCCAGGTAAACTTGGTGAAATTGTCGCGTAATTACATTAGCGATACGATTTTTCCACGGAGAACACGAAATGGAAATCTTATCATTCTGAGATGGAAAGTTCGTGTAACTAATGCTAATATGTAATTATCGGGTGCAATTATCATAAACCAACAGCGTGTACACAGTTACTTTATTCCTTCCGAGTTATTTTCTTGTTTATTTCATTAACCGCTCTCGCAGTTAATTAATGTTCTCCTCGTTGGCTGAAAAATGTTCTCTCGTTGATTGTATTGATTTATCTAATTATAAGTCGAACAACGTTACCTCGCTGCACACCCAATTATGTCAAACGGCAAAGTCAAAAATATACACACAGAGTCCCTCCCAGTAAAAAGTTGAGGTCGGAACCTGGTTTCACCAGGTAGCTACGTGCCGACTTGGTTTAGTCGATAAGCTTGCACGCGTCGATAACAGCACGAAACGCAATAATCCACGAAGTCGTGCATGCATTTGCCGCAAGAATGTTGGAAGAACAAGCTGATGTCTCGGATCTCGGAAGAAGAAGCAGCGGCCATTAGGGGCCAATTATCGATGTTCCGACGTACGGGTGTACGCAATAGGTCGGCGAGTCAGCGGCGGGAGGGGTGGGCGGTTGCGCGGTCGAGGGTGAACCCGGCCGCGAAACGTGCCGATCTCTTCGAGGAATGTCGGTAGCGTGTACCGCTCGCGTGACTAGTTTCCCCGATATCGAGTGGCCATCGGTCGCCAGTTTCTGATATTGCGCAAGCATCCATTCCGCGCACAATAACCGTACGCGACCTCACCCCGCGCCCGCCGATCGCGCGCCATTCACGGAGATCGCCGACCAGATCCTCGCCGGCCGTGGAACGTTTCTCTAAGCAGAAATCCAGCCTCTCTGATCCTCCACCAGTCCCGCTGCACGATTTACGATAAATACCACTTCGTCCTATTGGATTCGAGAGTTATACGAGAGACTTTTCTTTTTTATACTCGGGTACTCCTCGTTCTTGTTCGGCTTGTTTGTACGTTGCTTCGACGAGTAACGCCCGTTGCGGTGAAACTGCGATTTTACGGTGTCCGCACGACGCCATATTTACATATATCGCTAACAGAGCGAGGATATTTATGCAAATTCGCGTTTTTGTGGAATTCAAATGGAAGCTTTAAGTTTCGCCCGTTTCGCGGATATTACCGCGAATGTTTCATTCTGCGTACCGTGGGCAATTTTTCTTTCCCCGCTTCTAAGTTGCCTACGCGCGCGTAGAAATCCGGAAATTCAATTACCCAATAAGCTTCCCTTTTCTGCGTATGTGTTAACCATAATTCCCATGTTTACATCGTTGGTAGACTTGCAGAAAGTCTATCGTAGGGACGTCGTGCTTAGAATCTTGGACTTTTCCCTCTTCTCCACTCTGCGTAACTGTGTATGTATGTGTGTGTATACCTCAGAATGTGTCGTCGTAAAATTCCTCTCCTCCCCGTAAACTACCTCGCTATCCGATCGTGCGAATCCCGATACCACGTAACGTCGACGACGCAAGAAGCAGGAGGTCGTTTCGGGTCGGTCGAGTTCCAAAGTCGCATACCGCGAGTCGTTTGTCTCGGGCTGGCTGCAAATTCAATTTACCAAACTAGAGTTTCTCAGGGTCGTGGGTGAAATCGTTGGGGCGAGCGCGAACGCGAGCGCGAGAGAGGGCCATTCTACTCGTCCCTCCCTTCTACCCGTCGCGTCGCGTCGCGTCGCGTCGCCCGGCTCGATAGGCTACTTATTCAGGCATTTTGCCCAACGGCCGGAAACGGCGAGTTAGAAATTCGCTGCGAAACCGGCCGTGTGTCGGGCTCTATATCGCGGAGGCGGACATAATGGTTCACATGTGGGTAAACACAGTGACGGGTTGCGGGTTGCCGCGCAAAGAGATTAATGGCCTTCGGTTTGGTCCCCCGGTGAACCGGCCGCCCGGCTCGTCGGTATTGGTACGCTCGCGCGCGCGTCTCTACACGCAGCCACGCATCCACGCGATACACGTACGCTTTAACCGTGCACCATGGTGGTATCGGGTATGGAATACGTATACGTGTATAAGGTGTACAAGGTGTACACGTATGCGTACGGTGTATAGATACGTAAAGGTTGGCGCTGGACGTGACGCACGCGCGTGTGCGAACGCTCTTGCACACGTTCGTCTCCCAAAGCGTGGCTGCTCTGTGGGTGAGAGGCCGAGAGTGCGCCCGGGCTGAGTAGCCATCCGTAGGACCATATACACTCGGTGCCACGGGCTCTATATATATATATATATACATATACAGGCTGTACATATATATATGTATATATATACAGAGTGGACGTATATAGATACACGAGAGAGTGGTGGTTTGAGGCACGGTGATGTATCGGCGCCCGCGGCGAGACGAATGGTACGGACCCTCCTATGGCCACCATTACCCCACCGCACATTGGCCAATATCGGTCCTCTCTGTCTTTCGCGTCCTCTTCCACTCTGCCTCGTTGCTTGTCCTCTGTCCTCTACTGCTACCCTCTGTTTTCTCCCTCTCCCTCTCCCTCTTCCTCTCTCGTTGATTCTCTTTTCCTGCATCATTCGGTCTCCTGCCCTGGTATCTCGGTTCTTCTTTCGATTCGAGACATTTGGATGTGTTGCGTCGTCGCGCGTATCCCGCAATGCCTCGTAATTTTGAAGGACCGCGCAGGAGGAAATAAGTCCCGCGCCGAAGCGAGAAAAGGCCAAGAGCCCCGGTAGATGCGAGAGCGATTTGTTTTCTATTCCCGAGCAGCTGCTTCTCGGAGTCCGCCGATGATTTGTGACCGCGTATGAAATACATCCAAGCGTTCCGCCGTTTCGCTTCTCCTGGATATCGGGATATTGGCAGCGAGAAGCAGCACCGCCACCTCGCCGTGCCGGGTGAAACGGCAGCAACGTGGAACGAATTCAGCCGTGCGTTATGACTCGCCCGTTCCACGCCCATGAATGTCGAAAGCTGTTTCCGTATTGGCGGCCTTCGCATACGGCAGAGGATATCGTGGCGTGTGCACCACCATCGGGTCGTCGAGGCGGACAGCCGCGCGAGGTTTGCCAGGAAGTTTGCTAAATTCGAGAGAGCCCTCGTCTCCATTTCCATTCGCGAAACGTCTAAGGGAAGAGGTCACTCGAGAGCGGGGGCGCCTTCTTCGCAAGATACCCACTGCCTGGAAAGGGCAAGTGGACCACTCGACCTTTTTCTTCCCAGTGGGACAACAGCAACAGGCTATCTTCGTTGTTTCGTCGGAGAAAGTCGAGGCTGTTCTGTCCTCGCATTGAAACATCATCGTAGAAACCGTAGATAGGATCGAATCGATAACGAGATGGGCTCACATCACGCGTCGCACAGCGCGAAGATTACGAGATTAACGACTGATAAAAGGGGGTCAAAAGTTAAAGAGCCACTTGTGGACTCTGACGGTGGTATCTATTTAGTTGGCCCATAAGGTTCCCTTTACAGGAAGGAAGGGGGCGCGCGCACGCACCCTAAACCTAAACTCTCTGTTTCTCCGTATCTCCGTTCCTCTCTGTCTCGCTGTTCCAGCCGTCTACCCGTCCGTTTCTGTTTGCCCGGCGCAGGGGGTAGCGGCCCCTTCTAGCTTGGGAATTATCGCTCGACGACCCATCAAGTAAACCCTCTGCCGACTCATTCGAACCTCTTAATGAAATTCTCACCCCTGACTGACTGGCTGGCTTGGCTCGATGGTTGGCTGGCTGGCTGGCTGGCTGGCTGGCTGGATGGCTGGCTGGCTGGCTGGCTAGCTAGCTGGCAGACACTTGGGACGATCCTAGAGTGCCCCGAGAGAGATTCGCGAGAATGAGAGAGAAACAGAGAGACACGAAGAGACAGTCGGAAAGGGGAAAAAGGATACAGCTTCCCTATTTTCCCTCCTGGTGTTCTTTCTGCCTCGAGGGGGAACTAAAATCTCTCGCGCCTCAAAGTGGTTGAAGGCTTCGCTCCCTTTTTTTCACAGCATCCCTTACAGCTTAACCGTATAAGGGTTCAAGGGAGTCTCCGATACGTTTCTGCCGGAGCGTCGCCGACCCCTCGCTGCTCGCTGTATGTGTATATATATATATATATACACACACACACACACATACACACATATATATTGCACGTATATATACCCGTCTGAGTCGCGTGGATCTCACTTTCACACCAGGGATTATAAACCATTAATTCTGACATTGCGTCTAGGCCAAATAACGAGAGGGAGTGGAGGGGAGGGACTGGCACGATCTCGTAACGCGAAAAGAACCGCGTTGACCATACTGAATTTTCCATCAGTTTCCGTGGAAAATGCTTTCGCTTACTCTCGCCCTCGCTTTTTTCTCTCCTTTTTCTTTCACCCTGCGTATTAAACCACAGCGAAGAGGAGGTGACGGGGGGGAAGGGAAAAAAGTTTTACGAGCTATTAAGTTGGCTTTTATTCGTTATATACTCAGCACTCGCGGTATTCGCGTTTATGAGCGGCAGGGGAAGCTTTTTCTCCCCTGGCCAGGAGAAAGACGACGACTGTGCGCACGGTCGGGCGTCGACCATCGAAGCTCAACGGGCAATTTAGTAAATTGACGCGCGCCGGTCTGTTTGCAGAGCCGATGAGGCACGTGAAAGCGGAGCACTTGCAGCACGACAAGGACCTGGACGAGGAGGACGATCTGGACCTCGAGGAGGACCCACGGCGGGGAGAGCATCCCTTTCACCACGCGATGCAGCACCATCACCATCATCACCAAGGGTACACCCCGGAGGACCACCTCAAGGACGAGGGCATCAAGTCCGATTGTAGCACAGCCGGTGTCCCGATTCCGGCGACCAAGCCTAAAATCTGGTCGCTGGCGGACACGGCGGCTAGCAAGACGCCCCCGCCTCTCACGCACCCTCACCACCAACAGTATCACCATCTTCATCATCAGCAACACTACGGCCAACAGCAGCACCATCTGTCCAATCAAGGCCATCACCATCACTCGCAACAACCTTGGCTAGGTGGTAACGCCGGTGGCGGCGGCAGCGCTGGTAGTGGAGGCGGAAACCTGAGCTCGTTCGCGTTACCCTCATCTGCGTCGATGAGCCCGTCGGCGGCGGCGACCGCGCCGTACTCCAGCGCGGCGACCAGATACGGCGGTTTCCTCTCGTCCTCGTCCGGAGGGCAGCTGCATTACAACCCCTCGTCGTCCGGTTCGAGCTCGAGCGCGTCCTCCTCGGCGGCGGCGGGGTTTCCCGAGGTTGGTACGGACACTCCACCCCAGACACCGCCCAACATGAAGGTGGCTACACCGAATGGAGTGATCCAGGCACCACCGGGCGGTTACTGCACTGGTGGTAACGGCAGCACAACGGCCAACAGTAATCCGAATCCTTACGGGCCGAGTCATCCGGCTGCCGGCGGCTATCTCTCCACCAGTTCCGGCTCGGCCAGCAGTGGTTCCTCCTTCAGCTCCAGGCTGCAGGCATCCCCTCACAAAGACTTCTCGCCCGCTGGACAGAACTCCATTCTACACCAGCACCAGACCACTGCCAGCTTGCCACCTACAGAGGCCACTACCGCGTTCAAACCGTTCTACAAGGGGTAGGTGCACTGACCTCTAGATAATTTTCACAGATAATTTACACTGCGCGTAGCAATTCGTAGCAGTTAGCGGGAGCAGTACAGGAACGAGAGGGTGACGATGAAAAACAACTCTGGTTTCAGCTCTCAATCGATGGGCAGCGGATTCGTGTCGCCTGTTTAAGAGGTTCTCGGTCGATCCTGGATCACCGTCGCGTTCCTTCAGGTGAGTGAAACTTCCCCGCTCTCTTCTCCGGTCGTCCGGCTAAAGCCTCGATTTTTTGCCACTTAACGAACCAGATCTCCCCATCACTCTCTCTCTTTCTTTCTCTCTCGAATCGCCTTAGGCCAGCGTCGCTCGACAGAATTCCTGATGTACGTCCTCGCGTTCTCGCGTCGTGGAAATATCACGAACAAATCTCGCCTCGTATGTGTACGATTCGAGTGAAGAGAGAAAGAGAGAGAGAGAGAGAGAGAGAGAGAGAGAGAGAGAGAGAGAGAAAGACCTCGCATACCGATATCTGCCGGACAACTCGATGACAAATCATAAGTACATCGGCGACGATAATCGCGTGCCGCGCGAGGTGCGATCGTAATAACTCATCCCGCGACGTGAAAAGTGCAACACAGTTTGCGTAATCGGTTTGCAAATCGGCGGAGCCAGGGTGGATCCAGTGGCCGAGAGCTTTCCGCGGTACACGTGGTCGGCGGAAGTTGATAAGAAATTAATATTGAACGCGTCGATCGGTCGTTAGGGTTGGCCTCTCGACCGTTGAAATAATAATGGGTATGGAGCATGGAGCACCAGAGCGGCGCTCGCTCGATTGGTGAACCAGCAGTGGGCACCGTGAACGAGCAGCACGAGAGTACGAGCGGGAAACGGAGAAAGAAAACGAGAGAGGAGAGAGGCTATCGCCACCTCCTTGACAGTGACAAATGGACGGAGATTTCAATCAGTGAATGGAATCACCACTGGCTAGCCGCGTCTTTCTCTCGCGCGCAACCCAACTGCGTTATGGCCACTGACTCTTCTCAATGTGTGTTTGCCCGTCTCTGGACCGGTGTACATTCGCTCGTGTGCAACACACACACACACACACACACACACACACTCTCTCTCTCTCTCTCTCTCTCTCTCTCTCTCTCTCTCTCTTTCTTTTGGGCACACCTCAACCTGTCGCGCTGCTGACTGAATAACCGACCGACCGACCGCACGGTCCACTCGCGTACTATCCTCTCACGGAATGGAACACGCCGTGCTCGAATTAATTGAAATAAGACGCAGCGCTTGGCGTGAGCGTGCAACCCATCGAGGTCACAGCGATACTTTGCGTTGATGGATCTTTCGCTTTTGGGAGTGGCGTTTGGGAAAGTGGTTTAGTTTCGTCTCGTGAAGTTTGATTAATTCTTGGTTTGACACACGCCGTGTGTTCTGGCTCCGGGTTCCTTCGTCGCGCGACGTTCAACGACGAAAATTTGTTTGTCCTCGCGAACCCGTTTACGCACACGCTGTGCAACGTGTTTCGACTTGATTAGCGTCGTTAAGCGTTCGATTGAACAATATTACGTCGTAACGAGGCCATTGGCCTTTCAACGACGAGGCGGATTTGTTAATTTTTCAATGAATGGAAACTAGTTCTCGAGCGATTAAATCTCTTATCTCTCGTCTTCTTCGTTATAATTTACCGCCTTCTCCGTTCGCGTGGGAAAAATATCGAGTAAATAAATAAGAAACTAGGCGGACGTATATCTATGTCGGCTATCGACGTTCTCTTAATAGTAAAGAAAAAAAAAACGGCATTACTGAGACGAAAGAGAAGCTGTATCCGCGAGTCCTTGCTCTGCTCGCTCCTCTGATTTTCCTGGCTGCTCTCGTCGCGTATATTTCGAATCGTATATCGTTCGTTTCAAGGACATCGGCCTCGTCGACGTTGTAAACACGTCGAGACCAGTTTTTTCTTTTTTTTTCTCTTTTTTTTCGAAAAAAAAAAAAAAAACGAACGAGAGGGATCGAAGAGGAAGCGTGAAAGACGAAACGAGTCATTACGAGTCAGATCGATCGACCCACCGTTACGATGAAAATTTCTCTCGGCTCGATGACGTTTCGGCAATCGGCTGGCATCGCGAACAGTCGAGAGTCCAAACGATCGTTCGTTTGGCTGGAAACGAGCAACTTTCCCGGCATTATTTTCACCGAGGACTAGAAGCGACTAGGACGACTCGTGAAACTCGATTGGATCCAAGGTGCAACAAAGAGCACGATCTGTCCGTTTCTCTTGTTCGTCCTCTGTTCGTGGCTTGACCAACTGAAAGACGTCGAGAAAGAGAGAAAGAGAGAGAGAGGAAGATGGAGAGGCTAACGGAGCGGCAACGGAGAGAATCGAAGAGAAAGAGAGACGCTACCTTCGAAAGGAGAACCGGGTGTTAGCCTGGTGCTGTTATCGCGTGGCGATCTGATCCTAATTTATAGCCGCGTCCCAAATAAACTAGTTTTCGCTGTCGTCACCTCGGCCCTCTTCCCTCCTCGCTTCCCCTCTCCGCTCCTCTTGGTCCCACGTGTGGACCAAGAAACCTCTTTGGGACCTCGTGGCGTCTGGACGCTTATAACGCTCCTCTCTCGCGCCCGAAACACCAAACTCTCCCTCTTCACCTGGGCCCTCTCCTCTTTCCTAAATCTGCGCGCTCAGCCCTCCGAGCGGTGGCTGCAGCCAGCCCCAGGTATACGTATATATAAGCTCCAGATCGTACGAGAGAGAGTGGCCCTTGTTGCACCTACCTACTCTGTTCCTTTTTTCTTTTCGCCTCTCGTGTATCTCCTCTCGTCGTGTCGAGGCAGCGATGGAAAACGAAAGAGAGGAAAAGAGAGAGGACGCCAGAGTGGAGCAGCGGCGGGCGCGCGCGCGCGACGAAGACGCGAAACACCCTCGCCTCGACACCCGTGGCCTATAATTGCCAATTAGCCCGGGGATATTTAATTGCCATTAGGCTGGGTGGTGAACTGACGATCTGGGCCCGGCGATCCTTCGGCCTGACCTCGGCCCTCTCTCCCCTCTCCGCCCCCTCCTCCCTTCTGGCCACGATATTTACACGATCGCGTGGGATCTGCATAAAATTCGCGACCACCAAGCGAATCGTCGTCGTCGTTTCGTAGTCTACGTTGCCTTCGCGGACGCGAACAGGACAGCCGATCTTTTTAACGGCCACGAGATTCCGCCACGGGAGGATTCAGGTGTCTCCTCGATAAATCCTGCCGGCACGTCGTCGCGATTCCCTCCCCTCCCCCGCGTTCTCCGTCGTCCTCGCGAGAAACCGCCACCGCATCGTTTCCACTATCCTTCTCTCTTCTTCCTTCGCTTCTTTCCTCCTCGTCTCGAGGAGGCATTTCTCGAATTCTCGCCAGGCGTTTCACACCGTTTCGTCGTTTCGCGTCCTTCTTTGTCCTCGACCCTCATTTTTACTCCGGGATCGGCCGATGAGGTCGCGGCTCTCGGCTTTATTACGTCGCGACGCAGAGTTGCTCAGGGCCGAAACTCGGTAGCCCGGATTTACGTCTCGACCTGCATCGGATTCCGGCTTTTGCTACCTGGGTAACCGGAGAACCTGCTAAAACCTTCTCAACCTGGTCGTTCCTCTTCTCCAGCAACTCTCGACGGTTTGCAAATTCGTGCTCGCAACGCCTGCGTGAACCACGACGAGTCGGAGAGAATCGTTTTCCGCTCTCTCGTAAGTGGGGACCCACGTCCGACCGACGATGGAACCGCTCGGCCGAGATTCCCTCTACGAAAACTGGCACCGCTTGTTTTCCCTCGTGAGCTTACCGACGTGATTTCTAATTACCTGGCTTCTCCGGGACAATTAATCGCGTACGATCTCCCCGGAAAATGGTTCGCCACCGGTCGTTAATACAGTCGTCGGCGCGGTCGAGTGTTGTAATTATACAATTAAACGGCGAACAACGTCGTGGAGTCGAGTAGAGTAGAGTAGAGTCGAGTCGAGTCGGAAAACACGTCGACATCGCGTCCGGTAATTTCGGCTCGTACATGGATCAATTTTAATAATCATCGTAATTTCACGCGTTCGTTCCCGTCGCGGCATGCAAACAACGAGCAACTCGCGCGACAGATAACGGCGGTGACGCGCCAATTAATCCTGCTTTCCCGTCGAATCTCGCTCCTCCTTTCCTCCTCCCGAAGACACTCGTTCACCAGGTTCAGAGCGCGACGACCGTTCGAAATTTCGCCAGCTATCGTCCCAGCGGATCGTTCTCACCTGGCGTCACGCTGGTTTCTCGTCCTCGTGGTCGGCGCACGTGTCGATTTCACGAGATTCTGCACCGTGACCTTCTTCCCCTCCCCGCCCTTCGTTCGCGCGAAATTATTACGACGCCGCTCGTTGCTCGTTGTCTCGCAGGTTGCAGATCATCGTCGCGATTACTCGTGAATTATCGTCACGGGTCTCCTCCCCAGAGAGGTACGGCCGCTCGGCGAGATCTTAATCCGGCTTATCTCGACTCTTGGAAAAGGATGCTCCAACGTGAAAATGGGGAAAATTCGCACACCACTTTGTCAATCTCTTTCGATCATTTCGCATTCGTTGAAGGAGACTTGTTGAATAATGTCATTAACATGTTTCCTTCCCCCCTGGCGGGATGTTTGAAATGACACAGTTGCCTGTAGGAAATGTATATTATTTGTTAGTACTATATATCATTATAGAAGTTTTATAAGCAACTGTACAATCTTATTATTTCAATAGTCAGTGTGACTGATTTCAGATCTTCTTGTTTCCTGCATCTGCACAAAAGATATTCATAAAATTTAGAATAATTTCTTTTTAGACAGAGACGTAATTGTATAAATTTGTTTATTTAACTCTCCGAGTACCGCAGCAAAGTGACCCATGCCGGAGTCACTGCTGACTCACACCGACACTTCACTAACACATAGCGGCTCAAGCTCGAGACCCCCACCAATAGTGTACGAGCACAGTTACGGTTGTTCGAGCTCTAGACGTTACCATAATACAATGTAATAAATTTCGAGTTATGCTCGAATTTTCGTTGTATGTATGCAAAAAAATAATAGATTGATAAATTATAAAAAAAATTATATGTATCGCGAAGTATTGCATTCATTACATATAATTTTTTGGATTTTGTTGATTGGGCATTTCTTTTGCATGAATCGCATACAGGCGAGTATCTGTTGTTACTTCCTATACAGAAAC